ATATATATATATATATATATATATATATATATATATATATATATATATATTTGACGATCAATATACCAATATTGATATATTATAACTTAAAGCGGATGATTTACAGAAAAACGTAAGCAGTGCAGAAATTTATCAATTAATTGTTGAACTGTAAAAAACATCACTGACTGAGTTGATCACTACTTACGTTTTTCTGTGCGCTCTCGGTCTAACAAAATGCGATTATGAATCTGGATCTTGGTTCTAGGTATGTATTATGGAACTCCCCAAGATGAGTTCTGATCGGAATCATTCTGTTATTCTCCAGATTTCTAGTCTAGGGAGAACGTAATTATTCCGATCGGGATAATAAGTGCCGTGTAGGCCGATTCTCCAATTTTTAATGACAATATTGCAATATTGTCGTCGCGCAAATATAATACATGATAGAAAAGCTGCGCAGCGACATATCATGCTGGCGACATTGTCGTTACGAAGAGATTAGAGAATCGACCTACTGCCTACTAATTCTGCAACTTTTAATGACAGTATCGTCGTCGTTGCGCAGCTTTTCTATCACATATTATGCCTACGCAACAACAATGACAGTGTCGTTAAAAGTTACAGAATCAATCGACTGGATCCGAAAAGTGAGTCTGAAGTTGAATTCGAATAATAATTGCGGTTTTAAAATTTTTGATCGGAATCAATCTCGGATATCCGGATAGTCAGATACCCGAATATTTTGGAGCCCTAATTTTGAATACGTGAAAAAAAAAGAGAGCAGCATTGACTCGCTCGACCCGACAATGAGCTGACCATCATTGCACCACACAGCCAGAGGACGGCAGTCTTCTCGAGGAGGAACCGATCATTCCAGTGTCTCGAGACTAATTCCTCACACGCGTAATGTAATAGCTTAATTTACTCTGAATGAGCTTTTGTCTCGGCCTGACAGTCGTCTCAGCAGAACTTCGCATCGAAGCAGATTGTTTGAAGCTTGGCGCTTCTCAAAACGATCGTGTCCGCGTAGAACGTGTCCCCGGGATATTTTTTTTATTTCGTTTCGATAGAATGCGATACGTTTGTGTGTGTGCGCGCGCGTGTATGTGTGTGTGTGTGTGTGTGTACGTATGCGTGCATGTGTAGTACGAATATACGCGATGCTCGATATAATAATAATAACGATTAGTTGGAAGTAACGAGTGAAATACGAAGGAGTATGTGTTTTAGAGAATGTAACAAGTTATATATCGATCGACGAGCTCGTGCTCGTCGATTGTTTTGCCTCCAGCAATTCGTGCGACATAACAGTATCGTATTTATAAATGAACTTCGTAATAAGTGACACAGAATATATTTACCAATACGTTGAGAAACGGTAACGGCGAACTTCGTATATGATCGTCTCACTGTCGTTATAGTTTCAAATTATGTCATATAGAAGGACTGTGTACACGTCGTTACTTGCAATCTATAGCAATATTAACATAATACACATGTGTGTGAACATACTCAATGCCCAATTAATTCTCAATGCAGCTCAGGTTACAGTTTCCACTCTGTGTACCGATTTTCAGATACATCTTTTAGAGTATAATTCCACATTGGACTACTTTACATTTTTGGACTCTTTAATACTATCAAATAAATTGTCGACAATAAATTACTCTTACGCTTCATGCTTTTGGAAGAGCAACCTTGCAGCTCACACTGGGGGGAATATGAGGTCAGGAGGTATTACGATATTTGATTTATGTATTTTTCCTTCAGTTTTTTTTTTATGATTATGCTACAGTCACGTTTTCCCTAGGATACATGTTCTAAAGTAAATGTCTCAGTAATTAAACAATGTTTCAATGACTGAAACATCGATGATATATTTGTGATATTTCTAAAAAAAAGAAGTCTTGAAAATTTTGTTAAGATTTTTTTTATCAATTTGTACTATTATTCAATGAGCATTAAATCATTGCGTCTGTATTATTCTAAAATTAGAACATGATTCATTTATCAATTCAGTCATTGATACAACTGGCATCATCTAATGTCTTATTAAAATTATAACTGATAATGATTTATTGTTTTGTTTCTTGTTATTTTTCGTTGTTCATAAACTAAAATTTTGCCTAAACATTATTTCTGTTAGTAATACCATCAATTATTCATTAATTAAAATATAAAACTGACTGCTTTCTTATAAGTTTGTTCATGGGGAACGTTTACCTTAGATAATGCCCAAGAGATCATCGATCTCTGGAGGCAAATTGAATGAATCCACAATTAATTCCTACATTTGTATGTATGCGATAACACTCATACATATATATATATATATTTTACACTGTTTTCTCAGTTGTCTCCTTCTTCATCAGGTTCTTCCAAGTGATCCAATCTGAGTTCTTTTGTGCGATTGCCTTTGATTACAAGCCGATTCGGTCTGATTTTTTTTTGTCTCTGGCCGATTACATATTCTGGCAGTATAATTTTGCTGCTTCTAAACATAGGTTTCTCAGTCGATTCGTTCACGACTTCTGGTGAATCCTCTGTCTGTTTTGTTTGCGGCTTCCTGAATACCACTTGTGATGTGGATGTGCGTTTCTTGTGCTTGAACATTGTCTCATTGCAATCTTGTGCGTCCAAGTCGCAAGGCTCGATGTCCATCTCATCGGGTTCGTCCGCCTCTTCTCTTCTCCTACGTGCCTTCAGTTCCCTCAGAAATGACATGGCAGCTTGTGTGTTGCTCTGCTCGGTCATGTCCTCGTTGGACACGTCAGCCAAGCTGTATTTGATCCACTTGTGCGGATTCCTGTGATAGTCGGGAACGCCTCTGAAAGTCGCGCGAGGCGCGCGACCCTCGGGACGCTTGAACATGCTCTCTTTGCCGCAGAATTTTCTGGTCTCTCTCCTGCGTTTCAAGTTGTCCTTCGAGCTTGAACCTTTGCCGCACTTGTCCAGGTCCATGTGCGTCTCGGTATCGTTGACGTCCGTCTCGCATCTGTCATGCTTGTTGCATTTACTCTCGGCAATCGACAGCTGATCGAACAACAATTTCTGTCTGTTGGCGAACGCCGCGTCACCGCCGCGTAGAACAAAATCGGCAGAAGTGTGCATTTCGTAAGTGGCGCGTAACTCAACCTTCTACAAATTATTTCATTGAAAAACCCAACCATAATATACGTCGCCACGTTAATAACTGTGTTTCAAACCTGTGAACTATCAGCACTTGCACCGAGCGATCTGTTAGGTTATGTTGGCTATTCGTCCCGTAGCCTACGCACAAATTTGACAGGCAGCGACGTTGGAGCTTTCACCACACAAAGGGCGCTTTCCCTAGCTACGTTACACTATATTACACAAAACCAATTTATTGGTCACATATTATCTAAAATATCTTGTAAGATAATATGCAACCAATAGGCCTGTTCTTTGTAGTTGCACTGCTGAACTGGTGCAATATATTGAAGTGAAACAAATATACGTTTTCTCACTCTAACTTATTGCACTAGTTCAGTAGTGCAGCTACAAAGAACAGGCCTAATAAACTGGTTTTGTGTAACACAAGGCCTGTTCTTTGTAGCTGCACCGCTGAACTGATGCAATATATTAAAGTGAGACAAATATACGTTTTCTTATTCTAACTTATTGCACTAGTTCAGCAGTGCAGTTACAAACATAGACCTTATATCTTCCATCTTTCTTCGGCATGTAATGAACAATAAAGATAGAATGATGCTTTCAGCATGAAAACGTGCAAAACGAACTTAGCTATATGGTTTTGTTTTTTTAGTTGATTGTCGAACTAGTATAATAAATTAAAGTGAGATAAAATATAGTTGTCCTATTCTAACTTATTGCACTAGTTCAGCTAAAAAGTACAGACTAGGAGCCGTATTCTTGAAAAATATCGCATGCGATATTTCAATCAAATACTATAATATACGTGGCGCATAAACTATAACTTTTCATAGAAATATTTTATGCGATATTTCTCCAGAATAAGATCCCAAGCGGATACAGGTATAACGAGGATTTTGTCGAGTACGTTGATTGGCTGGGATCAATTCTCTCTCTCTCAACTTTCTCATCCTGTTTTAAACTGTCGACTTCACTCTACAAACGAAATACGTTAATTTGCACATATACATCATTATAGACAGTACATTTGAGTTATATACGTGAAATAATTTATTTGTTATATTTATAACATTATACACAAGACATTTCACCCCGATAGAATGAGCAAGAGACTAAAATTGAACTCGTTCGCGGCAGCGAGAACTTTGCGTTCCGGGAAAACGCTTATTACTGTGAAATCCTCAGGAGAAACATCCCCTTATTTTGCCGATAAACAATTAATATCGACACAAACAGGTGCAAAGAAACGAGTACCGATCAAGATCGAGTACGAGGCGGAGGATAAAGTTAGCGTTAAAAATACTGTACCTACGATATCAACCGTTTGTGTAAAGAGCGAAATTGCAGAAGAATCGGCCAATGTAGATACTGTCAAAACTGAAAAACTCGAGACAAAAAATAAGGACACAGGACAATCAGAGAATGTAACAGATATCAAACTCGAGAAAAGTGAAATTGTCGAATATAGGGCAAATTCAGAACATATAAAAAATGAACAACAAAGTCAGTGGATGCCACCAAACTGGGAGATTATTTTGGAGAATATTCGAGAGATGAGAAAACATAACACAGCACCAGTTGATGAGATGGGTTGCCACAAGTGTGCAGACCCTGATGCCAGTCCAACAGTATCCAGGTATCAGTCATTAATAGCGCTGATGCTGAGCAGTCAAACAAAGGATCAAGTCACACACGCTGCCATGAAACGTCTGAACACTTACGGTTGCAAGCCAGATATAATAACGCAAACTCCTGATGATGTTCTGGGCAAACTTATATATCCAGTTAGCTTCTGGAAGGTACCACTCAGTAATCATTTGCTTGTCTTTGAATATTATGTGGCAAACACAACATTCTATAAGTATATGTTTCTTTCCAGAGGAAGGTAGATTACATCAAAAGGACATCAGTCATCCTCCTAGACAAATATAATGGGGATATTCCTAAAACTATAAAGGAACTGTGTGATTTGCCAGGGGTAGGCCCTAAAATGGCTCACATATGCATGCAGATCGCTTGGGGAGAAGTGTCTGGCATTGGTGTAGATACACATGTTCATAGGATTAGCAACAGGCTAGGATGGGTGAGGAAGGAGACTAAGTCACCAGAGAAAACTAGAAGCGAGTTGGAGGATTGGCTTCCCAAGTCTCTGTGGAGTGAAGTCAATCACCTTCTTGTGGGATTCGGCCAGAAGATTTGTCTACCTCGATTTCCCAAATGTGCTGAATGCCTCAACAAAAATATCTGTCCATATGGCAAAAAGATTGGAAAGGTAACAAAGTGATAATACATTTACATGTTCAACATATGTTCCTTGTAAAATATATTTATCCATGATTAATTTGCAAATAATTAGTTGAGTCAGTAATTAATTCTAACGCTCTGATCTCCTCTCAATCCGTTTGCCGCGCTTGCGTGCTACCTTCTGAATTCTGTGCAATTTCCGTCTGCTTTGCTTCCTATTCTTTATCTGTTCAATCTTCTGCTTTTGCTGAAAAGCCTTACTTTTTTTTACTTGCTTCAATGCTGCCTTTTTTATCTCCCTCTTCACTTCCTTCGAAGATTTCATCTCTTGGTCAGTTGATTTAGTTTCTTGTTGTAGATTCTTCTTTACCCGAAATGACATCCCAACAATCTTGTCATTTTCATCGCCATCATCATCTGGATGTTCACTTTCTTGATCTTGTTCCTCTTCTTCCTTCTCTGTAACCTTGTTCTCGCCTATCCATCTATTTCCTCTCGTAAGATCAGCAACATTTAGTTCCAAGATGCTGACTGTGTGACCTCCCAAATCATATTCTTTTTGAGATAACAGTTCTTCCAATTCTGGGATACTACGCTGTGATACTAATTTTTTGTAACGCTCTCGTGCCTGTGAAAAATACATATGTGATAAGTATTCTATGATCATCTAATATTCTCATGCAATAGTACTACTAACGTCTTGCTTAATTTTCTTCCGTTCCTCCTTCAATTGTTGCTGTAATTGCTCCTGGGCTTTCTTCTTTCGTTCCAGCTTTCTCTTGCGAAACCCTCCCAGGAATTCTCTACATCCACATAAACATCGTTTAGTTTCGCTGCGAGTTTGTAATTTCTAATCTCTAAAAAACATGGTTACCGTCGTTTCTTCTCGTCGAACATCAGCGTGATTTTCTTTCGCCTTTTTGGTTGCCCAGGTATTTTATTTACGTTAAGTAATTGCGGCTGAGGTTTGTTTTGCATCATCTTAATTTACGCTAGGTTATGTGTGACACTGAAATTACGAGGTTATGTCAAAGAATCACATGTAAATTGAACTAGTTCGAAGATAAATGCAGGCGCGCTCAAAGAACTTTGTTGGCTTGATGTATAGATCAGAATAAGGCCGGTATTCGTAGTCAGGTCTTATTTTTAAGACTAGACTATGGCCGGTACTCATAGGCCGGTATTCATAGTCAGATCTTATATTTAAGATCAACTTAAGTACTGTCTTAAGATGTCATGAACCAATCACAGAGCCGTATTCGCATCTTAAGACATTACTTAAGATGATCTTGAAATAAGATTCGACTATGAATACCGGCCATAGTCAGAACTTATATTTAAGACCATCTTAAGTTCACTTTCAGATACTTCATAACAAATGAAATGATCCGTATATCATCTAAAGATAAATTTAAGCGGTCTTAAATATAAGATCCGACTATGAATACCGACCTTAAATATAAGGTCTGTCCTGAATACCACCATTAATTTGAAATCTTCGAATTTATTTTTATAAAATATAAAAACGTTTATCTTACAAATAAATATCCAAGTATTTTTTCTCAGGTAAATATGTTTTAAATCAAATTCGCACACACATACAGAATAAACGCAAGTTATAATTATACCATATGTGTAGTAAAAAGGAAACTACTGGTATCTTCACATACCTCTGTTTAACCAGATGGTATTGCACTTTATACCAAAGTTAAACGTTTATATGTAAATTATGATAGTTATGTCTATGTGTAGACAATGAGCAATCTATGAATGTTGTATAAACAACATATGGTTTGTTAAAAAATTAATTAATAATAGTTTGTATCTTTGTCTAATTTTCAGAATTTTGATATGAATTTATGAATGTTGTTTTCTATAAACAAATTAGTCCACAAAATTCTCGGCTTACGTTCTTACCTACAGAGAGTTAATATACCAATTTGTCGCAAAATGAAATAATTTCATGCAATTTGTTATCTCCCTTATAGCAATATATTGCTTTTTCTTGCATGTTTTGATACAATCTGCAATATTCTATATAATTTACATCATCTATACGAGAAACGATCGTATATGTCATATAAAAAAAATAAGCGCGAACAATCCGGGTAGACGCAATCTTGAAATCTACGGCACCTGTTTTATGTACACTGAATACGTGAATAAACCGCCATTGACGCTCAAGTAGTTATTGCGCATTATCACAGAGAGCGGCACAAGACATGAAGCTCGTCGTCGAGTTGACACGCATCCTCGCGTAGCTCGGACGTCGCGTTGCATCGCGTTCCCGTGTACGTTTTGCGACCGTTCGAAGACGCTTCTGATGGTGCGTGCCGTCTCAGGTCGAGCGAACGACTCGGCGTTTACGCGCGCGCGCTCCGCATGAACGCCTCGTTCCCTCCGCGTCCTTTCGATATGTGCAGTCTCGTCGTGCTGCACTTCTGGGAATCGCTCGTCCAACCCACGACGCAACCTCTTTCGCCGATGGCGGCGAACGACGGTTTCGCGTCGACCCATGGCCACGGCCTCGATGAAGCCGCGTCTCTTCGGGTGGAGCCGCATCTACGCGAAGCGTGGTGTCTCTAGAACGGGATAACGCGAACCAGACGAGGACAAGCGTTGAGGAAGAATCGACGTCCTCTTCTTCTTGTTCTTCGCGAGACAACACCGAGGACGTCCGTCCTTTGGTCTACAGTTGTCCAGCGGGGAGACGCCGAGGAGGTAATCGTACTATTTCTATCGCCGCCGTCCAAAGACGGCCGTTATCTCTTCTATTTTTAACAGCGCGCTCCCGCTCCGACGAGCCCCCTCGCTGAGCTCTCTCCGCGAGCAACAAATAAAAACTCGCTTCAGCGAGGAGCTCCGGCCTGTACAATAACGCGGCGTAAACACGTATCGTGCTCGCGATATATCCGGGATGCATAGCGAACGTTTCTTTCTTCTCTCGCGGCAGTCCGCGAGGGGAAGGGGTGCAAAGTGCATTCGGGCCGCAAGGATACGTGGGATAGAGATGAGCCGCGCTTCGGGGAAACATACGCGAGACGAGGTACAGCGAAGTCGTTCGGTATATCGCCCCCATAAATATTCCGAGCCTTCGGACCACGCTGAAGCGTTTGAGAATGAGAGACAAAGAGCGATAGAAACAGAGAGAGAGAGGGAGGGTGAGCGAGCGAATGTGGCAGGGGACGAGAGAGCAGGGGAAAAAAAAGCAGTAGACGATTTCATATACGGCGGTCGTGGGTGTCGCGCGCGAGACTGGAGGAAGAGAAAGGGACGGGGAGGGAGGAGGGGGACCTTGGCTTCCAGGCTATAACTGGAACACGCCCGGCCGATACACGCCCACGACGTTTCCGTGAATTCCGCGAGATATTGAACTCGTTGAAAGATTTCTTTCCTGGAAATCACGAATTCCCCATTTTTCAACGGTCGATGACCACACATGCGCGTGTGCGAGCGAGCGAGCGAGTGAGCGAGCGCATAGCAAAACAACGCGGCGCGTGATAAGGCGCATTTTATGCCAAACTCCCTCTCTCTGTCTCTCTTTGTGTGTGTGTTAGCCTCGAGCTATTGTTAATCGATATGGAGAACGCGAGCCGTAATAATCGGATGACTTCGAGCATCGGACGATGTTTTTCAATTTTCTCCTTTTACCACCAAGCGTCCTTTTTTTTTCTCTCTCTCTCTCTCTTCCTCACATACGTATGCTGCGTCGCGGGTATGTCCTTTGGATGCTTAGCCCAGATTTACAATGTGCTCTGTTTGCTCCCTGTTTCATTCTCCTTATCTCTTTTTTACTTGAACCTTAAGCTAAGAAAAGATAGCAAGAAACTGAAAATTCTTGGTTCTTAAGAACTAGAAATTCCGTTTTCTTCAACTAAAACTCGTTGGTTCGTTCATTACAGTCAAATAATTTTTTCCATATGTTAAGACAAAAATACCAAGCCTGGACATGTATTTAATCCTGGAACTGCTTATTATTTTGAATATGAATATTTAATACGAATATTGAATATGTACATATATTCTTTATTGAAATGTTAAATATCCGTATTTAAAGACCAAAACAATACAGGAACGCCCAAAATTAAATACGTGTCCGAGAATTGGTATTTTAACTTTATTTCAAAGATACTTCTAAGACATCTTAAAATGTTTCTCGATGTTTTTCAGGGAACTTTCTACGTCACCGCGTGTCTCTATGTATAATTAATCATGACTGTGACACATAGCAACCTTCGGCGTCGCGATGATACTCACAATCGAGCGATTTCCATTCGATCGACCGTGCATTGATTCTCTCTTTCTCTTTCTTCCCTCTCCTATCTCTTCTCCCCTCTCTCTATCTCTGTCTATTTTTCTCTTTCTCTCCCCGCATCGGAATTTTCCGCGCCCTCCGCGTTGCATTCGCCGATAGAGGAAAAAATGCGAGACTTTCTCCGGCGCTTTCACTTCGTTCTCGCGATTGGCGGCGGCAAGATCGCGCGTTTAGTACTCGAAAATGCAGCACACATACACACATATATATGTATATATTCGCCGCGCTACCGCTATTTTTAGGGTCTAGTCAATATTTACTCGCTCAATAGTTACGATAGCTCTGCGCGATAGTTTACAATACTATACACTTGCGCGCCGAGAGCCGGTAGATCCGCCCACGTGTGCTTCGCCCCTGTAATCCCACGTGGTGAAGGGGGAGAGGGGTTGGGCAGGAGGGAAGGGAAAGAGGGAGCGACCGATCCCGTCTCACAGCGCCTGAAAATAAATACTTGCTTCACTCTTTCGTAGAAATCCTAATGCATCGAGAGAAAGGCGAGCGGGACTCCATCATCCTACTCGTCTCCTGCGCTCGTTGGCGTTCTCTCGTTGGCGATCCCAACCTCCGCTCGTAGATAATAACGGGCTCCGAACACGTCGAATCACGTTGTATCTCCAATCGACGAAGCATCATCGGTATCTCTCAAGTAAGGAGTATTTTCGCTGGAGTTTAACTTTACTTTAAAAAACTGTCCCCATTGTATCTCGGTACGCAGAATCGTTCAACCTTTTATCCGCCGAACAAACCTTTTAGGATTTCTTTCGGGGAAAAGATTTCCACTTGTCCAACACGTGTCTGGAATTTTTCTCAGCATAATATCGAGGTTATCTTAGATTTTTCCGAGAACGATCCGATTTTCGAGTTTTCTTCGATTAGAATGTTCTCTTTTCTTTCCACCGACTCCACCCTTCCGAGAATGGCACATTATCTGTATTTTGTTGAAAATCCTTATTGAGGAGATTTCAAAAAACCTTCGTATTATTCGCTCTGTATTTTCATCAATTTTCCCAAAATTTTCCTCCGCAATCTTCTCCTGTGTTGACTGTCTTGTGCTTGTCACGACCGTCATGCATTGCTCAAAGGACATCGAGACCTTTCTAAGAATTTAAATTAACACGTTAAGACTGTGCGGAGGTTATCCGTGTGAGACCAGTGCATTCTATAATTTTCTTATTAATTTACATGTCAAATGCAACTATCACACCTATCGGGATCAAACACGTGGTCGACAGCAAACTGACAAAATTAATTAACCGATATATATATAGTTGAAAATCTTTGAATTTCTCGTGACTTTAGTTTCATTCAAACTCGAGTAATGCTTTCAAACAATCCACGGAAATCCGTGCAGCAATCAATGTGTGAAAATCTCTAGTTTATTTTATATACTCTTATCGTATATACATTGAGAAAAAAATGCTTGGTATTTGCAACTATAATCACATAGGAAAACAATTACTATAAATTATTGTCAAGGAAACTTTTTTTTCTTAAATTCTATTATATTTTACTATAATGTTATTGATAATAAATCTTGTATATGTATGTTACTACTGCTATTTTCGTTAGAACAACCACACGGAAAAAAGGATTTGCTGCAGCAGCAAACTAATTTGCTATATATGGACAGTTAAACATAATTCACTGTGTTAGCTACTTTTTCTTTGCTACAGGAACCTATGATAATAAGAAAATCTGTTAACGCAACAAATTTGCTACAGAACTAAACATAACTGCTTTAGCTACTTTTTTGTTGTAGAAGCAGATTTTCTTGTTATCTTAGCAAGGAAATTGGTTCCTGCAGCAAAGAAAAAGTGGCTAACACAGCAAATTATGTTTAGTTGTCCATATCTTTTTTTCCGTGCAGAAAATGTGATTGGGACCAAGGAAAACTATAACTTCATTTAGATC